GTTAACTAGTTAATCTAGCTGCTTTAATACACTTACATTCAGAGATTCGTAATTACCATTTCTTTTACTTAAAATGAGCTATCAGATGTTAGCTAGCTGAGAGCCCACCCTTTCATTTCATTATAACTATATAATTTCATATTTTATGTAATTGTCAGCTAACACTGGTGTTAAGGCATGAGCAGTGAAATTGGGGATTAGTTATAGAGATACATTTTTACATCGATATAGAGTTTCTTTTGTGAGTCCTTTCACAATAAACATGGCATTTGTTTTAACTCTGGAATTCCCAAAAATTCCACGACAACCTTGATGATTATGATCATCTACAGACTGATGACATTAGTTAAATAAGCTAGGATATTGTAAGCATTGTAAGATTTTAGTTCACTGAAGCCCGCGCCTGTGCTGTACTGGGTTTTCTTTTGGATCTGGAAAAAAAGTTGACCCCCCCTGGTTGTCACTGTATAAGTCCCACCCTGATGTTAATACAAACCAAAATCATCAGACTTTTTGACCTCTGCACTGCTGATCAGAGGAAGTACTTGCCTGTTCATCACAAGACACGATGGATTTCAGACGCCTCAAACACTGAAACAGGCGACTGTCAGGTGACCTGGTGAAAGGAGCTTTTCTTTCTTGCTTCACAGTCTTCCAGCTGCAGTTTGCTGCTTATTGAAGCACAGCAGTCAAGTCTGTTTGGCTTGCACTGATGTTTTCTTGTCAGATCTGTGAACATGGGTCTAGCACCTCAGTGGCCTGAGTGAGACATGAAGATTCACAGCAATAGAGCTCATTTAGTGCTGCGCTGTTGTATGCCTGATTGCAAAAGGAGCTTTCAGAAATGTGCAGGTCTGACAGCACATATATAGCCTCCAGAAATCAGAAGGAATGTGTGATTGAGCCCAGAGCGAGTGTGTCATTGGATCTGACGTGCCATGTTGTTGTTTGTCAGGCGCTTGGTTGGAATAAACCCTGAGAGAGGCACCGAGGCCGGACGGGCCAAAGTCTTCTCAAAGAAAACTGGCAAAGTCAGCAACAAAGAGACGACAACAGTCAGTCCACATGGATCCACTCTGCTGAGGAGACTCATGGACTTTGAGTGGGACTTCATTTAAGATGCTGAGCTTACTCCATCCCATTCCTCACATAGATTTCTCCCAATCCTCTAATTCTTTCTCCCTCTCAGTCTCCCCTCCTGTTCCCTTCCTCTTTCTGAAAGTCTGAATGCCTCTTCCATTATCTCCCTCTGATATTTCTTTTCTTTTTCCTCCTGACGTCTCTTATTCTCACACCTTGTGTTCTTTCTGTCCTCCTCTCTGTGTTCTTTGTGTTCTGCTTCCAGCTGGGATGTTCTGGCTGGCTGATGGCTTAGTTCAGGGCTGGGGGGACTTTTTCTTTGGATCTTTATGTTCATGCTCCACATTATAAGAAGAGGAAATGAGGAGCCCACACACTGATTTTGGATGTGAGAAGTTGCACTGAAAGATCTTTTGGATCTCATCTCTCTGTGTCTCAGCGGGCTGCCAAAGCTGGACCGAGAGAACTGCTGTCTTCACAAGTCAGGACTTTTTCTTCCTTTAACATGAACAATTGTTCTTCATGTGCAGTTTCCAGCTTTAGATTTCAATCAAAAGGAAAGTGCAATAAGACGCTTTGGATTTTTTTCCTCTCACGTTGCAACAACATGATTGAAAAATGAAGGATTTCTCCCTGTTTTTCACTCACAAAGAACGTTTCCATCTGCTTTGTGTGCAAAAAACAGCTAGATAATGTTTTTGAAACAAGTAAATTAACTGTTTGATCCTTTGAAAGTAGTAAAAAGCAGTTCATCCTGTATTTTTCATTAACAGTACAATACTGTAAATCTTAGTGACAGTAAAAGAAAGTTCATTTTACAGGAACATAATAACCCTGCTGCCAGCTGTTTCCTGTTTTTACTTTGGAACTTTAAATGATGGAAATAATCTGTTTTGTTTCAGTTCCAACTAAAGTGCTTTAAACTAAATGAACTAAATGTTCTTTTCCAGACTTCTTGTCCTGGTTTTGGCTTTTGTGTTGAATGATTGTTATTTCCAGCTTATTTTGTTCTCCCCTTCCTCTTGTGTCTGTGTTGGCTTCACTTGTGTTTTCCTGCTTGTGTGATTGTTTGCTCCTCCTCACTTGGTTTCACCTGTGTCTCCTTAATCACCGCTCTTGTCTTTAGATATTCTCGCTGTGTTCGTTGTCATTTGTCGGCTCGTCTTCGTTCTCGGTTTGCTTTGTCTTCTTCCTTCTTGGTCGAGCGTCTCTGCCGGTCTCCTGTACCTGTGGAGGATTTATTGTGGATTTTGTGTTTTGCTTTTCGCCTGTCTCCTCTCCCACAGAGAAACAAGATGGATAAACCAGCCAGAATCATTCGTTTTGCCTACAGTGAAGGTCCCGGATGTGGATTTGAATGAACACCTGACGCTTGCCAGAAAGGCCCGACTCCTTAGAAGACAGAAAAAAATACAATCCACATGGACTGCAAACTGCAAAATATTCATCAAGCTGAATGGAAGACCGGAGCGAGCCAAAGTTCTAGTCATCAGGGACCTGCAGGAGCCGGATCAGGACCAATGAGACAAAAGATAATGGATTTCTAAAGATCACTGTGTGACAGAAACTCTCCTGTAAAACAATCCACACTAAAGCAAACAAAGTCCATGGATCACTGAGGGTTTAATGCCTGCAGAAAGAAAAACAGACTTTATAGACTATTCATTAAGTATCGTCCCCCAGAAGCAGAAAATAAAGAGAAAAAGTAGAAGAATATTAACCAAAATTATAAGGAGATGTAAGAAAGTATACTTTAATAAAATATTAGAGAATAATAAATAATATGAAAGGTTTCTGGAATATTCTAAATAGTTTTATTAGAAATGGAACTAAAACTAAAAATACAAGTTACCTGGAATATTATATTGAAAACGAGGAGATAATAAATAAGATGGAAGATGTGGTAAATGGTTTCAACAAATTCTTGGTAAATCTGGCAGAAATAATAAAGTATCCAGAAACAACAGAAGGGTGGAGGCTGATCTTTGGGATAGAAATCCTAGCTCTGTTTTCCTCAGAGCAGTGGAAAGAAACGAGATAATAGACACTGGAAGAAAGTGTGAAAGCAAATCCTCCATGGATTGGAATAACACTGAGATGATTATTATAAAAAAGTTAGTGAAGAAGTTGAAGAACCATTTACTCATATCTGAAACTCGTCTTTTCAATCCGCTAAATTTCAAAATCAAATGAAACCAGCTAAAGTAATAGCATTATATAAAACTGGGGACAGACACCATTTCACAAATCACAGGCCTGTTTCTGTTTCTCCCCCAAGTCTCCAAAATCCTGGAAAAGCTTTTTACAGAAAGACTTGACAGTTTCATGGAAACACACGAGCTTCTAGTTGACAGTCAATCCGGATTCTGGACAGATCAACATCTTTGGCACTAATGGAGCTAACTGAGGAAATCAAAGTACACAGACAAGAAGAAACATGTAGAGGGAATTTTCAACGCTTTAAAGAAAGCATCTGAGCCCATAAATTATGACATTTTATTCCATAAACTAGAGAGGGATGGTATCAGAGGGGTTGGGTTGGACTGGCTGAGCAGCTGCTTCAGAAACTGCTGAACACAAATCTACACACATGAACATAAAGTGTGGTGTAGCGCAAGGATCTGTCTCAGGTCCAAAGCTTTTCATCATTTACATCAATGACATATGGAAAATATCAAACAAACCCTCAAATCACACAAATTCTGTTCAAAGAAAGAACTCATCTACAAAACCTGTTGAATGAAAGGCAGGGTGGGTAGAAACTGAGAGAAGAAGTAAAGTTTAAAAAGGCCAAATAAGTAAGTCTAAAAAGTCTGTGCATCACTATCTGTGGGGGGAGTTTGTGGAATGGTTTGGAGCAGCTGCTAAAACAGAGCACAGACATTAAAAGGTTGAAACAGTTGTATAAAAAGACTTTATTAAAAAGATGTGAGGATGAAGAGAGGTGAGTGTGGGTTACTATACTGACTGTAATGGGACGGCTGATTATAGGCTGATGCTTTGTTTGCTGCTAACTGTGAAAAAGCTGGGTGTTTATAATGACTGTATATTTGTTATCTTGCTATGAATATATAATATATAATGATAAACACACTGAGTCTGTTTTAGTTCAGTTCATCTCTTAAAACCACCTTAAACCTCCTGTGTTCAGTTTAAGGTGGAATTCTGACTGAAAATGAGACTTTATGGGGTAAAAGGCTGAATTTGCTCCTTTAAAGATGCAATAATTCATTTGACCACTTGTTGTCAGCAGAAGCAACCTGAACACACCTGAACACACCTTCACCTGTTCAGGTGAGACGCCACAGTCAAACTAACTTTACTCACATCACAATGAAACTTTACAAGCTGAAAGGAAACTGGAAGAGAAGCTTTTTTTGAATTACAATTCTTTATGTTTTTGATGTTTTATCCCTTTCATGCATGACGTCCACTACAGAGGACAGATATTTGGAAGCCATTTGGAGCGATTTAAGTTGTAGTATCATGTCACATCACATATGATGTCACATTTTACATCTGTCATTTTGAAATTCAAAATATGGGAGGGAAGCGTAGACTCACCAAGTACCTCAGCAATAACTGTAAAATCATTTTAGTCTCAGAAAACTAAAAAAACAATTTCCAACTAAACAGGATGTTAGAAAAACTTTTATCCAGATTTAAATTATGTATTTCTTGACTGAAAATACATCTGTCCACTCCAGTGGACGTTCTGCACCAATATTGAGTTCCACTGAATCACTTTTGATGCCGTTGATGCAGCAGACACATTAAAAATCAAATATATTGGGGAAAAAGATTTATCGGCAGAGTTTTGACTTGTTTAAAAGTAAAAACAAACTGATTTAATAATATGCAAATGAGGTACTAAGCCTTATCACACAAATCCATTTTCCAGCACATTGATAAGAGTCAGATGGATTTTTGTTGTTTTATTGTGATAATAAACCAAATGTTCAGACATTTACAGAATGCTTTATCAAAATATAGTTTTTACATGGATTTATTCAAAATAAACCACCTGTAGGAGCCACATTTGGAAGTTTTTGCATCTTCATGTCCTTGATTTGTATTTGCACACTTGATTGACACTTGGGTGGTGGGTGTGTATGTGGGTGTGTAGGACGCAGTTAGAAGCAGGTGCACTCACCTGTTCACCTCACCTGGCTGCAGTGATCATGGGGGTAGGGTCATTTTAGATCTTTAATGGTGCATGTTGACTTGTCTTGTGCTCCGGCCTTTTCTTTGCACAGACGTATGGAAACAGCTGTTAAGTGGAACTGTTGTGCATCGTTGTGAAATAGAAAATAAACGGATTGTTAGAAATGTGGTGGATCATCAGTTTTCTCCATGTTCAGCCTCTCATGGCTCGTTTTCCCTTTATCGACAGTCGGCTGTAACACCACTCATCTGTGGGACGGAGCCTTTTATTCTACATGTTTACAGATAAAATGAAAATTATAAAAGATATATTGCTATAAGAAAAATGACTTAGTGTACAGGAAACATGTCATTGTGAGAAAACGACTGTTTAAGATTAGTAAAGCAACAAAAACACACTGAGAATAAAAATGACTGTCACATGAACACATCTCTTATAGATATTGGCCAGATTTGGACCAGCTAACATTGTGCTCTAGAAAACAAGCTTCAAACAATATATGATTCAATATGGAGAATTTTAAAAGGGGTGGTCGAACTTCGAAGGTTGATGTGTGAAAAGTCGATTTAAATAAGTGTTAATCTGCAGTTCTGTTGTCAAACAGAACTAATCTGCAGAGGCTCTTTGGGTTCAGAACATCTGAATGAATTAAAAACAGACTAATCAGGTCCAGGTGGAGGGAGGTGTCTGAGTGTGGAGCAGAAGGAGTGGAGGAGTCTCTTGCTGTCTGCAGAGACTGTGTAGAAGGACAGAGCAGCAGCAGAGCAGTTCAGACTGCAGCACTGTTGGGATTCCTCTGTCAGTCACTGCTGGATGAAGCTCTCCTCTCCACTCTACCTCCCAGTAACATGGCCCAGTCAGAGCCTCTCCACACACAAGCTGATGCTGCTGCTTCAACCTCTCTGGATCATCAGGACACAGCTGATCCTCTCTCAACACCACCACCTTTCTGATCCCTCACACTCTGACTGAGACCACCTCCAGCTGATGAGAGAAGAAGACAGACAGCAGAAGTCATAAATCAGAGTTTACAGAGACTCCCTTCATCAGCTGTCAGTCAGTGATGCAGCACATCCAGTATAAAGACCAGCGGGGACTTCAGTCCTGTTCAGAACAGAAGTGGAGCGGCTGTGTAGCGCAGCCAGCTTCCTTTCAGCTCTCACATTTAAGAGTAGGCTTAAGACTTTCCTCTTTGATAAAGCTTATAGTTAGGGCTGGCTCATGTAAGGCAAGGCAAGGCAAGTTTATTTGTATACCACATTTCAACAACAAAGTAATTCAAAGTGCTTTATATAAAACATAAAAGCAACAGGGAAATATAAATAAAGTTTAAAAGCAACATAGGGAAATTGTAAAAATACACATTAAAAAATAATAAAAGTTACAGTGCAGTGTACAATCAGGGTTAAATGGAAAATAAAAACAGGCTGAGGGGTTGAGCAAATAACTGAGAAACAATAATTTTAAAACGAGAATAAACAGAGAAGTACACTTAATCTACTCTTTCTAGCAAGTCTGTACCCGGGTCCATAGCAATATTTAGGTTCACTGAAACTCCAAAAACCCTCAGACACTATAGAGCAACCAGGACATGTCTGTCCATAGGCCGCTTTGATCCAGTTATACTCTGGACCCACCTGCATGTTTACAGGTGGACAGAGGTTCCTACAAATCACTCGGGCGCGAGATTTAAGACCACTTCCTTCACTCTGTTCAATCTCACTCATTATCTTTTTTCACTCAATTACCTAATAATTTCTCACTGTGTAAATATTTAATTTAAAGCAATGGTAAAAAGCTGAAAACAGGGTGTCACAGCGCAGTGTAAGTTATCAATCAACTAGCTAAAAGCAATGGTAAAAAGAAAAATCTTCAGTCTTAATTTAAAAGTACTGACAGTTTCAGCAGACCTGCAGTTATCTGAGAGTTTGTTCCAGATATACGGATCATAATAACTGAACGCTGCTTCTCCTTGTTTAGATTTGACTCTGGGGACAGAAAGCAGAGCTGCCCCAGACGACCTGAGAGGTCTGGATGGTTCGTAATGAAGCAGAAGATCAGAAATGTATTTTGGCCCTAAACCATTTAGTGCTTTATAAACTAACAGCAGGATTTTGAAATCAATTCTTTGACATACAGGAAGCCAATGTAAAGACTTCAGAACTGGAGTGATGTGATCCACCTTTTTGGTCTTAGTGAGGACTCGAGCAGCAGCGTTCTGAATCAGCTGCAGCTGTCTGATGGATTTCTTAGGGAGCCCTGTAAGGACACTGTTACAGTAGTCGAGTCGACTGAAGATTAATGCATGGATAAGGTTTTCCAGTTCTTGCTGAGACAGAAGTCCTTTAATCCTTGATATATTCTTCAGGTGATAGACCTGAATTTGAGGAGCCACATTAAGACAAGTACAAAGTCAGCCTACTGAGTCCATGACTACACCAAGATTTCTGGACACCAAGATTGCTTGATTTGTGGTTCTTAACATTACCGAAGCTGAGAACTGACTTCTAATCGGTCCTCCCTGGCTCCAAAAACAATAACTTGAGTTTTATCTTTGTTTAATTGACAAAAATTATGGCACATCCTATCGTTGACCTGCTCAATACAGTCACTCAGCCCTTGTATAGGATCATAGTCTCCTGGTGATATGGTTATGTAAATCTGTGTGTCATCTGCATAATTATGGTAACATATTTTGTTGTTTTTCATAATCTGAGCCAGTGGAAGAACTCCACGTCATTATTGTCAGCTCAGATGTATAATTACCTATAGACACAAAGTAGTCCCTGTCCTTTAAGTAGGATTCAAACCATTTTAGTACTGTGCCAGAAAGTCCAACCCAGTTTTCAAGTCTGTCTAGTAATATGTTGTAGTCGACCGTGTTGAATGCAGCACTGAGATCCAATAATACTAAGACTAAAATTCTGCCGCTGTCAGTGTTTAAATGGATGTCATCAAAGACCTTAACAAGAGCCGTCTCAGTGCTGTGATGTGGTCGAAAACCTGACTGGAAGACATCAAAACAGTTATTTAGTGCCAAGAAAGCACTAAGTTGTTGAAAAACAGCCTTTTCAATGATTTTACTTAAAAAGGGAGATTTGATATGGGCCTATAATTGCTCATTAGTGACCTGTCTAGATTGCTCTTTTTTAAGAGTGGCTTAATGACTGCAGTTTTCAGGGCCTGTGGGAAAAAACCTGAGAGAAGAGACATGTTGACAATTTGTAGTAGATCGGAGGCCAACGTGTGCCCCTTATTGTGTGTGGGCTCTGTCACATGTTGGGTCGGTCCTTAATTATCAAGAACACAACACAGTTCTTTAGTCCCTGTGTCCTGGGGGTTGCCAACATGGATGTTAAAATCACCAACAATACCCACACAGTCAAAGTCAATACAGATTATAGACAGCAGTTCACCAAAGTCACCCAAAAAGTTTGCACAGCACAGGGCCTGTAGATATTTAAAAATAGCTCGAGAAGAGGAATTCAGCTGAAGAGCTGCATATTCAAAAGAAGCAACATTCCCATAAGACATCTTTTTGCATTGAAGGGAGTCATTAAACAAAATTGCAACTCCACCTCCTCTCTTATGCACTCTAGCTTCACTCATAAAACTGAAGTTGGGAGGGGTAGATTCGATAAGGACAGCTGCACTGTTATCTTGGTCCAACCAAGTTTCAGTTAAAAACATGAAATTAAGATTGTGAGTGATTATAAAATCATTGATTAAAAATGTTTTTCCTGCCAAAGACCTAACGTTTAACAAAGCTAATTTTAGTGTGTTAAAAACATTATCTGGCCCACTTTTTTCGACAGGCTGCAGCTGACGAGGAATTAATACTAAATTTGCAGGATATGTCGAGTGCTTCCTGTTTCTTAACACATTCACCGTGCTTTTTCTGTTACCTATCAAGACAGGGATGGAGAAGACTACCAGCACATTGGGCCCCGGCTTGTCCTGGGAAGAGTCATGAGTGTAATTTTCCTTGTAGCCTGGACCCAGCACATATCATACAGAGCTTACTGGGCTTTTTCGCCATTGTGGAGCGGGAGGACGGGTTGGGCGCTGTATTTGTGACACGTGTCAAACCTGGAGGACTTAGAACCAGTGGTGGAGGTGGACGGTGAGGGGGGGTTTAGGGTAGAGAGAATGGGAGTAGAGCGAGGGAATGTGCAGGGAGTAAATTTGGTCCCAGCTCTAACCAGGTCTTCCATCAGTGATCAGTGAAGTCCAACAGGGGGGAGAGGGGAGAAAGGCTGTCTGGAGATAAGGGTGACCTAGAAGGGGATTGGGGGTAAAGATGGTGAATCCTCACTGTTGGTTTTCAGTGATAGAGGTGGGACGCCATCCACCTTCCACGGTCCACTTTCCTCAACAATCAGAAACATTGCACCCGAAGAATCCCCTGCCTCTCGTTTCCACGCGCCAGCGAGGTCCTGGGTCACACAGTCTACACGAACAATCAAGACACGAACTATAGCCACTCTTCAGAAAACGGTTATAAATGTAACAGTTCCGATTTAGAGAACAGAAAATACAGCAAACTTTTCAAGCTATCATGTCAGTGTGTCATGCATTCAGTTCCGTCAACACCAGCTCCTTTCCAGGTGGCGCATTACGCGCTCCGTGATATCAGCGCCACTGTTAAAGGGACAGTTCACATATTACCTCCATCTCAAGAAGTCGGTACCAAAGCAAAACAGGACATCAACCAACACCAGAGTTCCAAGCCTCCATCTCTCTTCGGGGTTGACCGCACCAGCAGCCTACATCACACAGGAGAACCACATCGAGTCATCAGCACCCCGCCATCCAGCTCCCAAAGCTTCAGGTACCCAGCACTAGGATATGCCAGCACCCCAGCCATCTACATCTACCAACCACAGCAGCAGGCTTCATTAGGGTCCTTCGGCACTGGGACACCAGCGCCACAGCTGGACACTTCCAGCAGCTACAGCAGCCAGTTCCATTGGGGGCCCCAGCACCAAGATGTTAGCGCCCAGTCGTACACCTCGAACAACTTCAGCAGCCTCAGTAGGGGCATTAGGCACCGGGATTGCCACCGTCTGCTCCCATCAACCACTAACCTGACCGCACAAATGGTCCATTACACAGAACCATCCGAAAAGTTATTGACGGAAACCGTTTCAAAGGACAGGAACTTCATTCAACAAGGTGCTGAAATCATTCTTTAGAAATGTTGGCCCATATTGATGGATAGCATCTTGCAGTTGATGGAGATTTGTGGGATGCACATCCAGGGCACGAAGCTCCCGAACTGTAATGGAATTAACATTTTTAGACAAGATATAGTAAAGCTCATTAGAGTTTGTGAATTTCTGGCCAGTGTGCGTTTGATGCTGCCACCCATGCTGCTGCAGTAGATGTGCTCAGGACTTGCCGCTGCAGGGCGGAGGTGTCTATGTTTTGCGCACGGACGGGGCCTCAGGACGGGTTTCTTCATTGTGCATCTCTCCACTGGACAGAAGGATTTGGAAGGACTGTCACTATAAGCTTTCTGTTACCAAGGAACCGTGAGTACAGACAATATTTTTTTTGGAAGGTTGCAACTGAGCTCCAACAAGCACGCCAACGTTGTGGTACCACAAAACTGAGAGAAAAATAACCCTGGGTATTTTCTTTTTTTAAAAACATACAACCACAGTATAGTTATATTTAAGCTTCAGCCTCTCTACACCCTAGCCAGTGTCGCAAGCCAAAGTTGTCAGTTGCTGTAAATACATACAAAAGTTTAAATTCTAGTAACCCCTCACCAATTCATTCCCCATGCACATGATAAATCCAAAAAAATAAAAAGCTGAATTGAGTGGGACGGCTACATTCACATCAACTCAAACACATGATCACTGCCTGTTCTCTCTGTCTTTCTGTCCAATCCTGAAGCCTGTCACCATTCTCCTCTCACAGCTTCACTGAGGAAAGCAGCTGCTGAGAAAATTGGAGGTTTACAGGAAATACTGGATCTCTGCTTTGATACTAACTGTGTTTAGTACAATGCTACTGAAAACAGCATGGACTGACTCAGACCCTCTACTGACCTCAGAGTCTCAAGTCTGCAATGTGGACTCTCCTTCAGATCAGACAGCAGCTTCACTCCTGAATCCTGCAGCTTGTTGTAGCTCAGCTCCAGCTCTCTCAGATGGGAGGGGTTGGACTTCAGAGCTGAGGCCAGAGAGGCACAGATGATCTCTGACAAACTGCAGAACCTCAATCTGAATAAAGAATAAATGATGGAGATAAAAATCATTTTCTAATTTAATCTAATGTGTTCAGGTTTAAAATGTGGAGCTCAACATTACTATGTCCTAATCAATGAGCTTTTCTCTAAAATGAGTAGAGGGACTTTGTCATTGTGTTATTGTGGATGATCATATTTCTAATCCAATCAGATTAACAATCAAATAAATATTTCTACTTCAACAAGTAAACTTGATCAGTTTAAAACAAATATTAGTTCAGAGGATCTTCTGTGACCATTTACCAAAAATTAGAAACATTCATTTACTTTAATGACTAACAGCGGACATTTTCTACAGTTTCTTTAAGACACAAGTCTTTGTGACTGCAGGCTAAATTTAGTACAAGAAACATGAAAACATGAACAAAAGGACATTTACAACTTTATGGATGGAAGTTATGTATGAACAGAAATTAGCTTCAATTGTTAATTAAACATATCAGATCTACAATAGTAACAGAGAGTCAGTGAACTGACCTCAGAGTCTCCAGTCTGCAGTGTGGACTCTCCAGAAAACCACACAGCAGCTTCACTCCTGAATCCTGCAGCTTGTTGTCACTCAGGTCCAGCTCTCTCAGATGGGAGGGGTTGGACTTCAGAGCTGAGGCCAGAGAAGCACAGCTGATCTCTGACAAACTGCAGAGACTCAATCTGAATAAAGAATAATCCAATCAGATGTGTTCAGGTTCTAAATGTGGAGCTCAACATTACTATGTCCTAATCAATGAGCTTTTTCATAAAATGAGTACTACACACTACATTCACCAGTCACACACATTCATACACTGAGCCTAAGTGCTCAAACGGAAACTAACATTCACACTCACTCATACACTGGCGGAACAGCCAGGGGCAATTCGGGGTTCAGTATCTTGCCCAAGGACACTTCGACACGCAACTAGGGTGAGCCAGGGATTGAACCGCCGACCTTCCAATCAACCCGCTCTACCTCCTGAGCCACAGCCACCCCATTACTGTGGATCAGAGGACGATTAATTGAAAAGTAATCTAACCCAAAATTCAGAGCCTCTAACCCAGTGGTTCTCAAAGTGGGGTCCGGGGACCCCGAGGGGTCTTTGAGGTGGTTCCCCAGCAAAAAGATGAATTTTTCACTATAATTCCATCAATAATTACTATTTCAGTCATGGGGTTCATTCACTTTCTGTAATAAAACATCTACCAATCTAATCACATCAAACATAGCAATCAGTCTTTCACCCCTCAAGGTCCTGTAGGCCTCCAAGACTCTGAAGCGACCCCTCCCACCCCAGACACAAACAGTTTCAAACATTCCCTCGTACCCCCACCCCTTTACAGTACACAATATTTTGCACATCACAGCACAAGCATATTCTTACATGTTCTTTATATTTTTTACATCTTGCCAATTTTTACTTTATATTTATACAAGTCACCAAAACAATTCCTTGTTAACCTACTTGACAATAAAACCGTTTCTGATTCTAAAAGCAAAATTTCTATCAGATGGGGGTCTCTGGGACAAAATCTTATCAAACGGGGGTCCGTGGTCTTATGTGTTAGTTTAGTAGTCCTTGAGTTGAAAAAAACACTCTAACCGACATAATTTTCCCATGTCTGTTATTTCGGTTATTTAATCCTGTTAATATTGTGTGTGTGTGTGTTTGTGTTCCTGTACTTTCCCCTTAAAACATCCTACTGTGTGTGCAGTCATGTGACTCCGCCCTGTCCAGTCCTGCTCAGCCTTCAGACCGGAAGCTCAGGGAGATGTTAGCTCGTCCAATCACTCGCTATGCACACACACTCTGCAGTTACAATTTTTCTTCATTGCTTAAACACATTTCTTGAAATTTTGCCTCTTTTTCTTGAAACTCTAAACACAAATCCACAACTTCTCACCCAATTCCCCAAACATCCTATTTTCAGGTCAAAATTAAGCTCTCCACTCAAAACCATTCAATCTTGCTGAAAACCAAAGTTTGCCCTCAGACGTGACACACAAGGCCTCAAAAATACACACACTACAACACAGTCTGACACACTGGTGAGATCAATTCAAAACAATACTACAAAAACTGGTTATTGGTAGCTTGTGGTTCTCCCCCTCAAAAACCTTTTCTCATGATTCACACAGCAAAAGTAATAACAAATGTAAACATTTGCAAATTTTTTATTCCTTAGTGTGCTGTACAGTTCAATGCACCAAACAACCAATTATTCTGCCCCAGGGTCCTGTCTTTGGTCTGAGACAGGAGATTCTTGTTCTCCACCTCCTCCTCCTCTCCCTACTCCTCCTCTGTGTCCCTCCTCCTCCTCCCAACTCCTCTTCCCTCTACCTCCTCCACCTTCTTCTCCACCTCCTCCTGCTCCGCCTCCTCCTACTCCTCATCTTGCTCCTATCACGTCTCCTCCTCCAACTCCTACTGTTCCTCTTTCTTCACCTCTTACTCCTCTCCATACTGTGTTTCCTCCTCCTCCATTTCTTCCTCCTTCTCCTCTCTGGTGTCCTCTACCTCTTCCTTCAGATTTCTCTGGATCCATTGTTCCAAAACTGAATGAACTGACTCGGGCCCTTTTTTCTATCTATTGAAGCTTCTGATTGGTGTGTTATCAGTTTTGACTCTTTATTTCCACCTGGGTAGCTGTGTGCAAATTGAGCTCAACCTGTGCTGACTTAAGTGAACAATATTAAATGTTAGTGTTTTCTCAATGACCACATGGTGTAGGCAATGAAAAAAGAAGAGATTTATGTGTAGAGTTTAGAGAAATGGGTGTGCTTTTTGAAAAATGGAGTTATGGTTTTGAAATTTTAGTTCAATAGCCTGGTTATAGTGTTCAAGCAATTGAGAAAAACTGTAAAGGCGTGAATCCGCTATTCTTAGGACAGCACCTTTCATGTAGATGTCATTTGATGAATGAGGAGAGGAAGCTAGCAAAGCGTGATTTACCGGGCTCACAGTGTGGAGGAAAATCATTTGTTCCGCATTGAAGTGAAGTTTTAGTAGCAGCGCTCATAATTCAGCAGCCGACTCTGTAATGTGCATGTCAGTATTACCTTATTATTTAATATTTAGATAGCCTAATGGATTTGTGAAATCTGAATAAATAAAACCAAGCTTTAATAGTTGAGCAAATTTACAGAACAAACCTTGTCACTGAAATATGAGGGCAAAAAACATTCAAAAACAAAATAATCGTTCAATTAATCGAGGTGAAATGTTCAATTAATCGTGATTTTGATTTTTAGGCGAAATCGTCCAACCCTAGTGGATCATCATAATGTCAGTACAACATTCATACACCTATTTGTTCTGTAAAGGGAACTAAAGTTTCATGGGGACACATGGACCTTTTGGGAGGTGACACATAAGTGCCAGTAAAGGTTTCTGCAAAGCATGCGCCAGCTCTCTGTCTTTATTCAGTACATAAACTCAGCATACGTAACAAAACATGGTGTCAGAAGTGGGATTCGAATTCATGCCTCCAATGCTAATGAATGGCCGAGATGGATTAAGCGCTTCGAACACTACAGAATAGCATCAGGATTTGATAAACAATCGTCAGAGTTTCAAGTGAATGCCTTCATGTTTGTAGCCGGCGATGATGCTGAAGTGTTATCCCTCACGGACGAGCCCGGTGAGAGTCCTTTATAACAGCGGCGCACACACACTGGCCGAACACTGTGAATTTGGGGTCCTGAGACAGTTAATAAGGGACTGAATTGTGGTTGGCATTAGAGATGCGAAGTTATCAGAAAGTGTACAGTTGGACGCTGATTTGACACTAGCAAAAACCATGACAAGAGTGAGACAGAGTGTAGCAGTGAAAAAACAGCAGCCAGTGTTACGAGGGACAGAGCAAGCGATCAGACAGGTTGAAGCTATACAGCAAATACACGCAAAATGGTGGAAAGTAGCCAAAGATAAAACTGACACAAAGACATCTGAATGCAGTACAATGCAATCTTTGGAAGGACTGTCCTGCCCGTGCAGAGTGAAGGAGTTGTCAAAAAAAGGGACACTTTGCAAAGAAATGCTAATCGACTGGTGAGGTCCATGGCATCTCAGAGGCACATATGGGGAGCAAAAACAAGGAGGATGTTGCTTTCCTTGGAGAAGTGGGCTCTGAGGGAGAGGACGAGTGGATAGAGACAGTGCAGTTAAATGGTGAAGCAATTGTTTTCAATCTGGATACTGGAGCAAGTGTTACAGCAATTCCAAGCAGCAGCTACTCCATTAAAAAGCATGGGACACTGAAAACACTACTCAAAGTGCTGTATGGACCAGGAAACGACAGACTGGAAGTAAAAGGACACTGTAAAGGTGAGCTGAGTCAAAAAGAGGTAACAAAAGAACAAGACATTTATGTTGTTGAAGGTCTGACTAAGGCGCTACTGGGACTTCCTGCTATAAAAGCACTCAAGCTAATAAGGCATGTCCACTCTGTACAAGCCAGGCAAGAGGATTTTAAGGCTCAGTACCCTACCGTGTTTTCAGGCTTGGGAAAATTAAAGGAGCCCTACAAAATAGAACTGGAGCCAGGTGCTGTCCCATGTGGCGTGACACCAGACTGAAGTTCACGTTTGAGACAGACCATAGACCTTTAGTGCCACTCCTGAGTACTAAGGCACTAGATGAACTCCCTCCCAGAGTGCTGAGATTCAGGCTGAGACTGATGAAGTTCACGTTTGAAATTGTGCATGTGCCAGGCAAGTGCTTAATAACAGAAGACACATTGTCAAGAGCCCCTGTAGGACACACACTCATACAGGAGTAAAAAGATACCGAAGCAGAGGTTAAAGTTTTTGTGGATACTGTCATCCAAAGCCTCCCCGCCACTGAAACAAGACTGAAGGTAATACAAGAAAAACAGAAAACCGATCCTGTGTGTGCGCAAAAATGATCAGATACTGCAAGACAGACTAGCCTGAGAAAAATGCCCTTTCTCCAGAGCTGGGGCCATACTGGCCTACTGTGACAC